CTTTTGGCGATGAGTTGTGCAGTCACATGCATTTGGCTGCGATGGTGACACTGACAGAAGACAAAGCCGCGGTGTTATGGAAAGCTGCCTGCCATATCTCTGAGTGACATGCGGGTTATCATTGTCACACCAACGCCGCGTCCTTGGCGCGCATTTCCCATGAACGATACGGCTGAACTGCCCAGCTCCTCAAAGATAACAAGTCGGTAGATGAGGATACATGAAGCCTTTATCTCTGTGAGGGGGCCCGCTGTGGAAAAAGTCTGAGTCAACGGCGAATGGGAAAAAAGGGAAAGCGACAAATCATTTAGCAGCTTGCCATTGTGTTGATTTTAGTATCTTAAATTAACATTTATCTGCAAGCAGCCATGTGTCCCAGCTAGGTTTTTCTAATTGGTGTAAACTTTACGTGAACCGTGGCAAATTATCCAGAGTTACATCATGAAATACGTGTGCTGAAACCTGCAAACCTCCCTCTCAATTAGTTATCTTTGGGCAGGATGTTTGAACACCTCACTCACATAATCACCAGCCATATTTGCTTTATCTGTACAGTCATGAATGAGCCGATGTTGAGTGGATTAGCATGCGTGGAGTTAATTTAATGACTGCTTGCACGAGCCACTCTCGTAGGCTGAGGTCAGGCAAAAGTCTCATTGTAATAGAGATCCTTTACAGCCATCAGGGGAAATCACTGCTGGCTTGTTGTTGGCCCGTGTAATTAACCATGTCAGCTTTCTAACATGAATAAAATGAAAAAAAAATACCCTGTCGGATTCAACCTTTAAAGCTGGTGTCAAATAAAGTGGGGGTGGGGGGGTGTGACAGTCTACAGCATCCCTAAATTCTGCCTGTCATAGTCCATTAAAATGATTCTATAACGGTATTAAAGCAGGAAACCGTGGGTTTTTCTCTAGCTAGTAGAGCTGAGAAAAACTGGGATAAATAAATAATGGATTCAGACACACAGATTCTCCGGTATTATTCAGCCAGATTGATGTATGCTGTCATGGGAGAAGTGAATCCAGGTTTAGTGACGGTTTTCCGTGTCACACCTTGACAAGGCAAAATATGGACTTCCTCGCCACAGGAATGGCAGATTGTCCTGAGGTTGCTTAATTAGTTATTTATCTAACTAATATGCAGAGAACGGGGCAAAGTAGAATGACACAAAAAGAGAAGTGAAAAAACATTCCGGTACTCCATCCGTCGGATGGGATGATCCTTGCTTGGCATGAACCATTTAGTTTGGATTCTTTTCTATATTGCGTCATTCCATGAAAACTTAAAAAATTGCAAAATGAAAATTGCTCTTCTGAAAACAGAAGAGTTAGACAAATGGTCAGTTTTCCTTGTTGCAAGGCACAAAGCTGCAATAAAAAAAAATGTTTTAAGAAAATATATATCCACTGAAAGACAGGGAACCCTTTCAGATTTTCCTCGCGCTGTACCACCAAGCCATGATTTCCTGTTCTATTGTTTCATTTTCCCTTACTAGCATCCTTGGTATCAGACACAGAGCCATGTTTTAAGTTTCAAGAGCTGACCATTGTGCTGAAATGTAGGTTACAAGGTTTATATACCTTTATAGGGGCTGGCCCCCAAGCAATAATAAGGCTGTTCCCCAGGTTCCCATAAACTGTGGGTATTAGGTAATGAAACAATAAAGATTCGGACTTAGCTCACTGTAGGCTGTGTGCTTAATGTAAACAAAGACCATCTAAATTATAGCTTTATTGACCTCTTCTAAGAGGAGATGATGCCTTGTGGTGACTTCAACATGTTTAACCAAATATATATTTCACCCCATCCCAAGAAATGAATTCTAATTTTTCTTGAGCAAAACACATTTTGATATAACCAGTTGTCCATTCAGTGAGTGGATTATGGAGCTTGAATACAATTAATTTGCACTGTCACTCCGTTTAATGTGAGTATGACTCAGGGGTAGACCTACCCTTTTACTGTTCCTCTGCTGTGAGTGGGTGAGTCGTGCTTGCTGTGCGACAGAGAGTGCGGGGGAAGGTAAAAGGGGAAAAAAAAGAAAAAGAAAGGACTGTTGTCTGCGATTGACTAACTGTTATGGGCTGATTTTTTTTTCTCTTTTTATACTGTAAAGCTTGAACATCTGCAACCAGATGCAATTCATAACTGATAACTCTCTAAATGGGCCACAGCATTATTACCAATGTGCAGGAAAAGAGCCAAAAATACATAAATATGAGACAACTGTATTTAAGAACAGGCTCATTTTTTACATCGAAGCTACGGTGAGCATTATTCAAATAAAAGGTCATAAAAGCAGCATATGTCACTGTATCACACACACCCCCAACGCACACACACACACCCTCCTTCCACACACACCTTATCCTCCCACCACGTCTGTGTATTGTGAATAATATTTTGCTCTGAGGACCAGATGGAGGGAGAGCAAGCGTAAGGCCACGACAGATGTTTCATGAGAGCCTGGCTTTCTTTATTTGCCCGTGCTCGTCTGAGAGTGCCCATGCGTCAGAGACTGTGATAAATTGAAATCCAAAACCAAAGTGGAGTGAGTAAAGAAATGAACAGAACGGGTATGAGTGTATTAAAGCCTCCGTGCGGTACCTCCTGCAAACTGTTCCAGTGAATCCTGAGTCTCTTTGGACCTGCCAGGAGTCCGACTGCATGATTGCATTTCTTAAATTAACCAGAGCCCATATTGTGTCAAGGGTTATGTCACCCTGCGAAAGGCTACCACAGAGAAAGAAATATTTGCACAATTTCACTGTTAACTGCCTGAGGACCTCCCATGATGCTCCTCACTTTGATTGGTTTCATTGATAGTGGTGATGGTTATTACTGTTTTCATAAGCCTGTGTGTCTCTTTCCTGGCAGGTATCACTAGCCTGGTGTCAGGGAGTTTGTCGTTGCTTCTCTCCTCCACCCTCAATCCCCCATCTGGTCAAGGCAGTTGGACGCCCTTCAAAGGTTGGTTGTGCTAGAGGTTTCGCCCCCCCCCCACAGACACACACACACACACCCTCCCTCGTCATCGCCTTGTGCATATGCCCAGAGCAGCAGACTAGATTCAAGTTTGGGGCGCACTTTAACAACATCTTAAGGTTGGCCATGTTTGAACCAGACACAATTGGGCCGAAATAAAGTTTTTAGAGACTGGCTCATCATTTGCATCCTCAAATATTTGCTGAAACCGGTTGAGAAAATGACAAAATAAGAAGTGGCAGGCTTACATTCTCTACAACCAATTCTCTACAACCAATGGAGACCGGTGCCAAGAAGTGATAACCCTAAGAATTAGGGGTTTGTTTGGTTTTTTTTAAATGTTCTTTTTCCTTTTTTGTCTTCTGTTTTAATGTGGAGGTCAAAAATCAGGTCTGAGTCTCAGAACCACTCCCAGATTTCTAACTTAACAATAGAGATGGTTAAAGAAGGCTCATGCTGTGCTGGACAATAAAGTTTATCTTATTTGATATAAACTGTCTACACTCTATATATATATCTAATCCCACATTTCCCTTTTTTTGTCAAAAAGCAACTGGCATGAGAAAGACACAATACTGAAATCCACATATACGCCTGCAGAACATATAAAACGTATTTATCAGACATATATAGTTGTTTTAAAAAATGCTGCTAAAATGAACAAAACTCCGGAGGCAGAGCATGAATATTTAAAAAAAAAAACATTGGTATGACTGCGATTTTAATAACCTACAAAGACTCCAAACGAATCAGTGGCACATATGGAAATGTGTTTGTTAAATAAAAGGCATCGGGTCGTAATTCCCTTTCTCTCAGCACCATGGACAGCGCCCCCCTCCTGCCTGCTGCTGGTTTTGGGTTCGGTGTTTCTGCTGAAACCCGGTCTGGGGACTGAGCCACAGCCGAAACCCGAGAGGACAAAGGACATTCAAAACGCGACCGTCCGCCCAAATCTTTCGCTAATGGTTCTCCATCCGCGAGATACACCTGCTTTAAAAGGCCTGACGTCACCCCTGCGGGCTCGTGGCATGCGCGTTGTAACAGGTGCACGATGCACGGATTCGAATAACTCACAATGGGCAGGGGGGGGGTGGAAAACAGCTATTAAGTTGTGTTATTATTCGCACAGTCCAAACGTGTATTCAATGCACATCCCTTCCTAAAAAAAAATTAATAAAAAAACATTGTAATGTGAGCAGTTAATGCAGCTATTGGGCGCTGTTTTAAATGTTCTGCCAGGTGAAATTTGCGTTTGATAATGAACGCTTATTCTTCCTTTTCTTTCTTTTTTTCTCTTCTTTTTTCCCACTAACAAGCAGTTTGCCTGAGCCGGAAATGCCCCGTTCCGTCACCGTAACGCGCTCCAGTAACCAGTTACGCGCCCGCTTGGCCGTACTATCTCTCCGCCTGCCTCTTTGTCTCCATGTGGGTTTTCCCTTCACAGAGTCGGCGCCGCGCCTCTCCGGTCTGTTGGTGTCTAAGCTATTGGCCTCAGAGACCGTCCGTCTTCCCATCAAAACAATAACCCCCCACCCCCGCCGCGCGCGCTCACGCGCGCACCTGCCACTCACGCGCCGGCACAAGGGCTCCCGGCTCTTTGGAAGAGCGACGGTGAAATGTTGGTTAAGCAGCGATTTGCCGACTACTCATTTCTTTCCAGCTGCACATCGGCGAGGAGCGCGGGGAAGCCGCGGCGATGCGCTCAACCGGGGACGCATCAGAGTTGAAATAAGGAAATCGGGGGGGATTCGCTGGGGGGTGGGGGGCTGGGGGGGAAATGAAAGATCAGTGGAGGAGATTTTCTTACGAGGATGACTGACTGCTGACAAAGAAAACGGGGTGCTTCACCCCCCACCCCTGTCCCTTAGGTTCGGTTTTACACCCTCTAACTTGGAGGCAGGTGTTTTGAGGGACCGGCTCGCTCGCGCTTGGACAGCCAAAGATTTGCATCCTTTTTTTTTTTTTTTTTTTTGGTCTTGTTTGGCTCTTGTTTTGTTTTGGGAAGGGGAATCATGCCTGTCCGGAGGGGTCATGTTGCGCCACAAAACACATTTTTGGGAGTGATCATTCGGAAATTCGAGGGACAAAGTGAGTACCTTATGCACGGGTGTCCATGTGAGTGGGTGCGCTGTGTTGTGCCGCCTGCCTTTTGTGTCCTGCTGCATGCTGAGAGCAATTTGTTAAGACATCACTTAAAAAGCCTTCAACAGTACGCTCATAAATATGTTCAGGCACAGACTACAAATCATTCTATAATAACCATGATATTTTGCTTTTGGAGGACCAGTTTGGGCTCATTATTCTGGGATGCTTGAAGAGTTCTGCCCAGGAGGACATTCTAACTAAAAACGGCATCTAATAGATAAACTAGTTACTTTAAGATAGCAAAGACCTGGATTCCCTCTTTTTAAAAGCCTCCATATATGTGACGTTTTTCCAAAATATCCATATTGAGGCATTTTTACAAAATCATGGGGGGATAAAGTTCTTTGTACATTAGAGCAGAATTGAAGACTACCCAAGCCTCACAAATTCATAACAAGACTTTCCTCTAAAGTTTAGTTACCTTAGCCCATGCTCTGGATAAGTGATGGAGCATTATCTATTAAAGCCATTGGACTCTCACTGTTCATGCAATGTGTTAATGTCCACACGTGCATATCCTAAGAAACTGACTTTGTTTATTTTCTCTTCTCCAATCTCTCATTTCCCCCCAATACAGATAAGAAATTCGTCATAGCGAATGCCCGCGTGCAGAACTGTGCTATTATCTACTGTAACGACGGCTTCTGCGAGATGACGGGCTTCTCCAGGCCGGACGTCATGCAGAAGCCGTGCACGTGCGACTTCTTGCATGGACAGTCGACCAGCCGGCACGCGGTGGCCCAGGTGGCCCAGGCGCTGCTGGGATCTGAGGAGCGCAAGGTGGAAATCACCTACCACCGCAAAGATGGTGAGTGCCAACGGGTGGTCAGGAGGCACGTGCCGCAACTTAAAAACGCATCCAGTGAAAGATCCCCCCCCACGTGTTTTGGTCTCTTTTCCATCATTGCATATAAAGCAATTGCATTGATAAAGATTGCAATAGTGTTTGTTTGTTACTTGACAATGAGCTAAAAAACAAGCTTCACATTGAGTCTGCAAGGAGCATTTTATCTCAGCAAATCAGAAAACGCGCCCATTTGAAACCCTGAAAGGAGCGTGCGGCCGCAAAGGATTTCTTCTCTGCGAAGTCCGATTTTGTAATGATGCAAACTCTTGGTGGCTGGGAAGGAATTTCATTAGTCTGTGCTGGATAGGGCACTTTGTGAAGGATGTAGCTCACTTCCCTGAAGACCAAAGTGAACATGATGAAGCCCGATTCTCTGTTTCTGATCTCATGCACTCATCCACTTGTGCCACTCACATCTCTGGCTTATTCCTGTGATTTTTCCAGTGTGAGCACTTAATGTCTCTCCAAACCTTACATAGCCAGATGAGCACATGGTGCTTGTGAATGCTAAGCAGAGATCCTGACAGTCACTGTTTTGTTACAAAGTAAACGTCTTAGCCCGCTCACTTTAACTGAGCAGTTCAGGGGGGGTTCGTGACCCCCAGAACCTCACGTTTCCAGACAAAGCACCCTTGTGGAATGTAGTCCTCATGGAGTTAGAGAAGTTTCTAGCCACTACAGCATGATAATCTGCAGAGCTCACCTGCCACTGTCATCCATGTGATGTTGGAGGAATGTAACAGAAGCAGACCTTTAGATTTCACTGTTTTATTCTTGGTAGTTATTCAGATAGCTGTGCCTGTTTCATATTATTTCATATCGTAGAAATCAGTGACCCATGCACAAGCAGAGCCGAAGGGTTCTGGCATTTTCTTAATGACTTTGAATTGTTTTTTTGATTTTTTTACTAGACTTCAACCTTGTTGGGGTCTGTGGTCTTGTTTGACCAAATGTCTGGTGGTTCATCCATACTGGCTATGCAAATCTAAGCTGTGCGGGCATCTTTTTTTAATTTTTTTTTAAGAGAGGCGAGGCTTTCTCTCGACCAACTGTCCAAACAATCCATACCCGTTCTGTCTTTTTTTTTCTGTGCCGTCACAATCAGTGTTTAATGTGTCACACTGACTCTGAGATGCAGTTCTTAGGTAGTGGTGTTTTTTGCCATTACAATAACCTCTGGATGTTGTTAATTGTGCCTAAAGTAAAGATGTAGTTTTGAGGCCAAGATCATGAGAAAAGTAAAGGAAATCCCACAAAGTATTTGCAAGCTAAGAGGCACATTTTTCTACTGATAAGCCCCATCTGTTTACACTTTACAGGATAAAAATATGGTGACTGGTCTGGAGTTAGAAGGTATCTCTGCTTATCCACATTTTGGATTTTCCTATGGCTTGCACAGCAAGCGACGGTCACTTGGTGCAATGATTGTCGTGTTTTTAGTGTCTGTGTGAATGTGTTTGACTCATGGAGAAGTTTTAAGAAACACCAGAGGCGAAGAGGGGACATAGATTAGGTTCAGGAATGCCTTGCTGGAGAGTTACAAATGATAGTGTCCTTGGAGACCTATGAGTTGGGTCAAAGGTTGAAAGAGTTAGATAAACTTACAGAGGGAACTAGTAGAACGAGATGTCAGCCATTTGAAATAAAAAATTGCATACAGAGTGTGCTTTGGTTTGTTTACTTCTAAGGAGGTTAACGGCCATGTTTTATGTGAAACGCCTGATTGTGACTGAATTAACTCAGTCAGATTAATCGTGCCACCCCACACAGGCCTGCTAACGGCACATCAACATGAAGCAGACGTGTTGAAGCAGGGAAACATCTTAAATCTCCAAGGAAGCAGCCTGTCGAGGACCAAAGTTTACCTTGTCTTCGACTATGCTGAAAATGTTACGGAGTATGAAGTTATAACAAATGGCCAGCGAAATTCTGACAAAATGTTTCCCTCTTCCTTAAGAAAATGCATCGACCTATGTACAGCATAAACGTTTGTACAGCTCTCAGCTTTTACGCTTTGACGAAGAGAAGGAAAAAAAGAAGTAATAGATATAGATATCATGAGTTTATGAGTGATCATTATTGTTTGGTGATAGCTTTGCACATAGAAACCTCCAGGGATTGTTTGTTGAACTGATTAACAAAACAGGGATGTAATGGCGTGTGTGTGTGGGGGGGGGCTTTTTAGGAGCACATTTTTACAGCAAATAGAGTGTAGCGTCTTGGTGTGATGAGATTTGAAAGGAGGACATTCACTCATAATGAGTTATTTCCTCTGAACTGCCATGATAAAGCGATTCATTATTTCAACTCAACGCAGAAGCCTGCTGTTTTCCTTCAACCACTAAAGACGTTGAGGCGCGAGCAATATCTCTCTAACTGTGACTGAAATGCTGCTACAGCCGGAGCGAATGAGACAAGTAAGTGGAAGAAGACAGCTCTGTGTAAAGAGGAGGTGGGGCCACGTGGGCATGTGGTGTTTTTGTGTGCGCGTGTGTCGGCTTGCTGCCAGAGAGACGAGAACACAACAACACACAGCTGGTGCGCGAATGCCCCTGAAAAGGCCTGCAAAAAACAGTGTATAATGGGTCATGATCATGTATGCTTTGAGTACCTCCACCCTCAGCCCCCCTCCTCCCCATTTGTGAGACGACGCAAGTTCTGTCTGAATCGATCTGCTGAGCAAACAGCATTAATGAGGACACAAATACCTTCATGTTGCATCGATCTTCAAAACCGTCTTTGGACAGGAGAAATCAATCTTTGCCAAACACCCTCCCTGCACTGTTTGGTCCCCATGGAGTTGAATAAGAGGAGCAAGATAGCCTCTGACTGTCGGACTGTGCTGCCGGGGGGGGGGGGGGGGG